CTGTAATGGGGCTTCATCAATTTTGTCGATAACAATGTTGAGAAGCCGCAATGTGTTTCGTGCACTAAAGCGTTCACGGGAGAGAGCATAAAAACCAGCAAATTGAAAGACCAGTTCGACCGAAGTCATTCTCAGTTTGTAGGAAAAGATATTGCATTCTTCAAACGGAGAGAAACTGCGCTCAAAAGTTCGCGTCTGGATACATCGGGCTCCTTTTTGCAGTCAACTGAAGCTAGTCTTGAAGCGTCGTACCGCATCGTTCTCCGAATTGTCAAAAACAAGAAACCGCATACTATGGAAGTGGATCTCATAAAACCTTGCATAATGGATGCCGTGATGCTCGTTCTTGGAGAACAACATGTAGAAAAGTCAAGCATGATATCACTTTCTAACAACATAATCAAAAGTTGTATTGAGGATTGGAGCAAGGATATTTTGAATAAGGTGTTCAACGAAATTAAGTCGTTCTTTTTCGCATTACAGTTAGATGTGTCTACCGACATTGTATTCTGTTCCCAGCTACTGGTCTATGTTCGGTACATAAAAGGCGGCCGCTTCAAAGCAGAGTACTTGTTCTCAGAATCGCTGAGCACAACTACAATTGGCGAAGATATATTTTGAACAGTGAAGGATTTTGTCGAGGAAAAGGATCTACAGTGGTCGAGGTTGGTGGGTGTCTGTACAGACGGAGCAGCATCCATGTTGGGCTCCATACTGGATTCCAAACGTTAGTCAAAAACATTGCTGTGCACTGTACCTTCAGCCGATGCATAATACATCGTTATGCTTTAGCAGTGAAAACGCTTCCGCCTGTTTTACTGGACACGTTAACCAACGTGTGTGTAATGAATTTGTGTAATGAATTTGGAGGCAAATTCGACGTGTTGTTATTGCACACGGAAGTGCGTTGGTTATCACGAAGCAGGGTATTGTACCGAGTGCTCAAGCTTCGAGAAGAAATTGCAATGTCTCTTGAAAGGAAGGAGCTGCATAAGGGTAAAGTGAACGGGTTACACATCATGATAACAGACAACGTATTTATTTCCAAACTAGCATATCTTGCAGATTTCTTCTGCGAAATAAATGCACTGAACTTCAGCTTGCTAGGAAATATGGTTAATATTTTAACTGCTCAGGATAAAGTTGCTAGTTTTCTTCGTAAAATGCAGCTTCACCAACGCAGAGCAACAGCTGACGATGTGTCGATGTTTCCAGAACTATCGATGGTGCTCACTGGAAGAAATGAAACATGCACTATCACAGATGATATAACTTGCCACTTGTCATCAGTGGTCCGTTGCATCAGCAAATATTTTCCTGATTTGGAAAATCGCCAAGTAGATGCCAGGGTGCTAAGACCCTTTTCAATGAATGAGGAAATCTTTCCGGTTACTACCATGGAAGTCAAAGCACAATTCCTAGGAATGCGCGAAGATAACGAATTAAAAATAAGTTTCCAAAGCACACCACTGGTAGCATTTTGGATAAAGATAGGTGTGAGTATCCATTGCTATCGGAAAGAATATTGAATATATTGATCCAATTTTGCAACAACTTATAGATGTGAAAGTGGATTTTCAACAGTGGTTAATGAAAACAAAAGCGAGGAGTCGAATGAATTTGGAGCGCGACTTCCGATGTGCATTAGCAGAAGCTGAATCAAATATACCGGAAATTGTTAGCACTAAGCAATATCAACACTCCCATTGATGTATATCACCTCTTGATTACATAAAAGGTTGTACCAAACAACTGGTTTCTTTCTGTTATTGATCGAGAGTTATTC